CTAGCCCCAACCTCCCAAACAACGCTGGGATTACAGGCCTGTACCACCATATCTAGCTCCCTTAGGCAGATTCTTAGGATGTTACTATATGCGTCAGGGAATCCAGGAAGCAATTACTGTAGTCGTTGATGTGATAGAAACCCTAGATGAGCCAGTGGCCTTGGCCTCGGCGTAACCCTTTCCCCTCATCCTGTATGTAGTTCTGTGGAATTGGGAGGTTGCACCCCATAGTCATCCTTAGAGACAGCAGTGACCAGCTTGAGACAACTGGGCTCTCCCCTGTGGTGTCTGGCCATGGTTGGGTTCATCTATACCCCTACTATGGGGCAAGAGGGAACCCTTATGCCTAGGTTTTTGGGAACTCGCTGGCAAGTGACAGAAACCCAACTCAAACTGGTTTCAATCAGAGGATGTAGTTTATCGGTTGCTGGTTCCAGGCATCAGTGGATCTAGCCGCCTTTCAGTAGATTAGGACTCAAGCCCTTCCCCTAGATGTTGCCTCTGGGTCAGCCTTACTCTCTAACGGGTTCTCTCCCCGGGAGGGACAGTCTCCCTCCCCTAACCTCTCCTCCTCTAACCAATTTCATCAAAAAGAGAAGATGCTGCATTAGCTACAATTTTAGTTACTTTTCCTGACAAGAAGAACTAATGAGGAGAAAGGGTTTATCTCAGTTCACAGTTGGAGGGTATAATAAATCAGAACAGAAATCAAGGCTGTAGGATCTTGAGGCGGCTGGTATTGAATCCACAGTCAGAAAGCAGAAGGAGAGGACTATGCTGAGGTCACTGTCTCCATATGCAGTCTAGGAGTCCAGCCCAGTGAACAGTGTGGCCTGCTTTTAGAGTGGGTCTACCCAACTCAGTTAATCAGTCCCTTCCAGTCATGTCCAGAGGTTTGCCTCCTAGGTGAGTCTACAGTCTATCAAGTTGATATTACCCATCACGGCTACATTTTCTTGGGGTTTTTGTTTGTTTGTTTTGGGTTTGGTTTGGTTTTTCAAGACAGGGTTTCTCTGTGTAGTCCTAGCTGTCCTGGACTCACTTTGTAGACCAAGCTAGCCTCCCACTCAGAGAGATCCACCTACCTCTGCCTCTTGAGTGCTGGGATTAAAGACGTGTGCCACTGCGCCCAGCTCGCAGCTACATTTCTTGACACACAAAATAGCTGATCAGAACAAGGGATGACAGGAGCATTTGGCTTCATGGTTTTTGAGACTTCGTCATGACAGGGATGGCATGCCAGTGGCAGTGCACAGCATCATCTCTTCATGTGGCCATAGGCCAGGACTCGGCGGTGGGGTCTAAAGCCAGGCCATTCACTGTCAAAGGTGATGACGTCTACCCACCAAGCCCCACCTCCTAAAGGTCCCTTGGCCTTTAAACTAGCTCCACCAGCTGAGGACATTTCGCTTAAGTCCTACCAGACCTCCAGCTGGGAGCTAGGGCTTACTCTCCAAAAGGAAATTGGGAGTTCTTCCCAGAAACGAGAGAAGCAACTGCTGCCACAAAACCCATAGCTGCCCTGGAAGGAGAAAAGGGCTTTACCTGTGGCCGTGAAAACAGAGAGCATGAGAGGGTCCATTTCCTGAGGCAGAAAGAAAATGGAAACTGGAGTCCTGGACATGCGCTTCGAGAATACCGAACAGTTTCGGAAGTGTGGGCGCCATCTGGATGTTACTCATTTCAGGTTGGGTGGACAGGAGAGACAAGAAGCAAGTGAGAAGAGCTGAGGAGACCAAATTGCCGTTTACAGCCGGGGGGTGGACATAACTAAAAGAAAGCCAAGTTTTGCAGTGAAGGGTGTGGTGAGGTACAGGCCCGACCAGGACCTGGTGGGTTTCCTGGTTTCTCTTACCAGTTCCGACCTTGATGTCTAAAACCAGCCTTTCTCAGCCTTAGTCCCATAGGCTGACTGGGCTGCATTGTTCTGTCGGACGAAACTGCTGTTCCGTTGTAGGCCTGGTCATTAGTCAACAGATGCCCGTTCTTCCCTCTCCTGTTCTGACATCCAAAACTGGTTGAGAACCACTGGTCAAAGGGTGCATAGGTGCATAGGTCCATATTCCAGAAGCTCCTCCCAAACATCATCTCCTGATCCCCAGGGGAAGATGGAATTGGGTGTGAACTCGAGAGATTGCCTGGGCTGTGATGCTGAGAACTCTCTTAACGGCATTTGTATCACTGACGACTCATAAAGGGGAGACTCAGGCTGGAGCCCCTCCACCTTGTTGTGGGCCAATGGCAGCTTGTTCTGTCCCACCCAGCTCTTAAACTTTTGCTCGTAAGTGCTTTTGTTCAGAATGTGTCTCTCCAAAGGGCACTGTGCAGCCAGGTTCTTTGGGTGTGGGCATGGGCAACACACACACAAACTTGCAGGCATTGGTTCTTTCTTTCTGTCCTTTGGGTCGAAGGGATCTAACTTAGGTTGTCTGGCTGGCCAGCAAGCACTTTTACCCACTGAGCCAGCTGGCCAGCCTCCAACACAGTTTAGAAACATCAAGAGAGACGAACTTTCATGTGTTGGGGGTAGTGGTCAGTGGTCAGGACACAGTGAGTTAGTTAAACAAGTGTCCCTCACGGAGCCTCCACGGCACGATTACGATTAGACTACAAGCAGACGGTCAATAGCTAGGGTGCATCCCCACCCCTAAATTTGCCTGAGTGGGGCTTCTTGTGGAAGGAGCCCCTCTTTCCAAGTACCTTCTGTTTGTAACACGCTTTCCCTTTATAAGCATAGTGGTCCACCCCATACCACCAGCCACCTTCTGCAGCATCAATAATTTATGCAGTCGATGGCAGGGAGGTCAAGGCAGGCACAAGGGAGCTCATGTAAAGGAGAGGAAAAGAAAGAGAGGTGGTCGATACTGCATTTACTCAACGGAAGCCCCAGGGACGCCTGGCGCTGTGCTGTGGGGAGGGTGGCTGGTTACGGACCTACGCATAGATGAGGTTAAAATGGCTTACTATGACGAGTAATGAGCATGGGCCACAGCTGTGCAGACCAAGTCCCACCCTTTTCAAAACCAAGGAGCTGGTGTCCATGGGATAAAGGGCGGACTGAATACCCTTGGAGTCCTTGTTCCATAGGGATTTCCTACGTGCCTGCCCTGTGCCGGTTACTGTGTATTAATAATGGTGTCTTTACCACTAATCCTTTGTGGGGGGATTTTGTGCCCCTCACCCAGGAGATAGTTGGCAGTATAAAGGAGCAGGGTTGAAGAAACCCATCCCACAATGCATAGGACAGGCCCAAAGACAGACAGACAGACAGACAGACATAATGAAAAGACCTGTCCCAGATACCAAATGGGAGTAAAAGAAACTGTCCCAAAGACATAAACAAACAAATAAACAAACAAACAAACAAACAAATAAATAATAAAAAAGACCTGTCCCAGATACCAAATGGGAGTAAAAGAAACTGTCTCTGTCCTGAGGTAGCACACAAAGGCAAGAAGGGAGGACAGGAGAAAAGGAAGGAGTAAAGAAACAAAGTAGACAAAAATGGCAGGCTTGATTAGAGCTAGGCCCACAAGACTCTGCCTGTGGCCTGTGAGAGCCGCACTGACCTTGGCAGAGTCTGCGCTGATGGTTCTGGAGCGAGCTGGGGGAGGAAGCATCATTGCGGAGCCAGCCAGGCCTGGTGACACTGGCCTGCATGCCCTGCTGCTCGAGAGCCTGGGGCAGGAAGGCCACCAGTGCAAAGCCCACCTGGGCTATGGTGAGTTCAGAGGCAGCTGGAGTAAGGTAGTATAACTCTATCTCAAAATGAAAATTTAAAATAATGTAAATGGGTCAGGGATGTACCGTGCATGAGACCCTAGGTTCAACTATACAGGTAGAAAAAACAAAATTAAAAGAATCAGAGAGTGTCCTAGCAGGGGAAGCGAAGACTGGATCAGGGCTGTCACGGACCACCTGGAGCACACCTGGGGGAAAGTGTGGCAACTTAAACTCTCAGGCAGCCCCGGGTAGGGACAACAGGTGAGTCGAGTGAATGGAGCCTCAAGAGATCTTTGAAGGAGGAAGGTGGGGTGTGTGAGGGAGACAGAGCTCAGAAACGCTCCTGGGTGTACAGGCACAGCCACAGGAAATGCTCCAGGATTTCCCTGGATGCCAACAGCCTTGGTGCCAGCCTTCAGCTGATGTTCCAGGCCCTTCTGCGAAAGGCACAGTATTCACACGTAGCCTATACCCATACCCCGTGGACTTGGATCACTTAAAACACCCAATACATCGTCATCCCTTACTATGCAATGTTTCGGTAACAACAAAAAATGTCTGCCTGTGTTCAGAACGGAAAGAACCTTTTTCTCCACTATTCTTCATCTAAGCTTAGTTGAATCCACGGGTGCTGCAGACCTAGCTGGGACCACTAAATGTACCATGTGTGTAATGCTGGGGTCTCTCTCTCTCTCTCTCTCTGCCGAGAGGAGGGTGGCTTCCTGGAGTGTGGTTGTGTGGCCTGGGGCGAGTGTCACACCCTGAGGACCCTGTTTTGTCACTTGAAAATGGAGGTCACAATAGGACCTGCTGCCTCACAGGGCATTATGAGGACTGGCTGAGTCCAGTTTTGGGCCTAGAGCAAGTGGATCAGTAAATACTCCACATTAGCCTTTAAAAGTTGAAGGAGAAGAAACACAGTATTGCCCCAGCTGAGTGTCTGGCTGGTAGCTGTCCCTTTAAAACTTTTCTCATTCCCTTACTGGAAGAAGCCAGGCTGCACAGGGGTAGAGGGAGAAGGTGAGTCTCCCTCCTGTAAGTTATCTAGGTACTGCTAGTGCTGGTTCATGGCTACTGATCTGGGCCAGGGTTCAAGTAGGTGACAGAGTGCCTGCTCGAGGGAGCATGATGCCTGGAGAAAGTCAATGCTGTTATCTCAAGTGCCTGAAGGAGCCGTGATGGCTAGCAGGTTTGAAGAGAGCTAAGTCCTCAGGAAATCAGCAGAGTGGGGCATTATACTGGATTGATCGCTCTCCCTAACTGTTCCCATTTTCTAGACCGTTCCTGGTGTCAGAGAGAAAGATGAGAACCCATCAGGTGTTCCCCTTGCCCCTGCTCCTGGTGATTGCGTCTGTGGCTTCAGAGAACGCTAGCACATCCCGGGGCTGTGGGCTGGACCTTCTTCCTCAGTACGTGTCCCTGTGCGACCTGGACGCCATCTGGGGCATCGTGGTGGAGGCAGTGGCCGGGGCGGGAGCCCTGATCACACTGCTCCTGATGCTTATCCTCCTGGTGAGACTGCCCTTCATCAAGGACAAGGAGAAGAGGAGGCCCGTGTGCCTCCACTTCCTCTTCCTGCTGGGGACCCTGGGCCTCTTTGGGCTGACGTTCGCCTTCATCATTCAGATGGACGAGACCATCTGCTCCATCCGACGCTTCCTCTGGGGTGTCCTCTTCGCGCTCTGCTTCTCCTGCCTGCTGAGCCAGGCGTGGCGGGTACGGAGGCTGGTGCGCCAGGGCACAAGCCCGGCCGGCTGGCAGCTGGTGAGCCTGGCACTGTGCCTGATGATGGTGCAGGTCATCATTGCCACTGAGTGGCTGGTGCTGACTGTGCTGCGTGACACGAAGCCAGCCTGCGCCTATGAGCCCATGGACTTTGTGATGGCGCTCATCTACGACATGGTACTGCTGGCCATCACCCTGGCGCAGTCCCTCTTCACGCTCTGTGGCAAGTTCAGGCGGTGGAAGGCGAATGGAGCCTTCATCCTCATCACTACCTTCCTCTCTGTGCTCATCTGGGTGGTCTGGATGACTATGTACCTCTTCGGCAACACCATCATTAAGAAGGGAGATTCCTGGAACGACCCCACCTTGGCCATTACACTGGTGGCCAGCGGCTGGGTCTTTGTCATCTTCCATGCCATCCCGGAGATCCACTACACCCTTCTCCCACCCCTGCAGGAGAACCCACCCAATTACTTTGACACTTCACAGCCCAGGATGCGGGAGACGGCATTTGAGGAGGACATGGCCCTGCCGAGGGCCTACATGGAGAACAAGGCCTTCTCGATGGATGAACATAATGCAGGTAAAGCAACCACTGCCTGACCTGGGGCAACAGACTCCGCAATCATGAATGTTCCCCGTGCTAACTGGTCAGAGATATTCTTACGTATCCTTTTCCTCACGCCGATGGCCAACTAATTTCTTATAAAAATCCAACAGTGGGGAGACGGCTGAGTTGGTAAATGCTGTCAGGGGAAGCAAGATGACTGGGTTCGTTCTCCAGAACCGAGAGAAAAGCCAGGGGTGGTAACATGTGCTTATAATTCCAGTGTTGAGGAGGTAGAGACAGGCATATCCCAGGGGCAAGCTGATCAGCCAGCCTGATCTCTGAGGCTTTGTGTCTGAAAACACAAGGGTTGGTTTCTAAGAACAGTATCTGAAGTTGACCTCTTACCTAAACATGTACACACAGAGATACACATTTATCACTATAACAACAAGCACGCAGGTTGCTGGCTTTTAAATGATGTGGGAAGCTCCCTTGGTAGACTATTTTCCCAGCATGCATATGGTCCTGGGTCTAGCTCCAGCAATGCACACACCGGAACAAACAAACAAAGTTGTGTCTATTAGGTCGCACAGTGCTGAGCCTGCCTTCCTCTACGGCTGCAGTTTTCTGAACCTCGCTGGAGTCAGTGGGCATTGGAAAGCCAGGCCTCTTGCCTGCCTTATGCTCTGGCTAGGAATACACTTCCTGCTTACCCCACTCTCTACCACCTCCTGCCGATGCCCCAACATTAGTTCCCTAGCTCCCTGCAAGCATTTGAGTGCGCACCTACCCTGTGTGCGAGACGGATGCAGGCCACCGTGACCGATGCTCCTGCCCTCCACCTCAGTCATCAGCAGGGTTCAAATTAGGCCCCGAAGTCCAGCATCCAGGTTCAAACCCTGACTCTCCCACCTCCACACCTGCTGTGTGGCTTTGGGTAGATTATATGACCTCCCTGAGCCTCGTTTTTTGTTTTTTTGTTTTTGTTTGTTTTGTTTTGTTTTCTCATTTGTGAAATAAAAATAATGGGAGGGCATACTGTGTAAAGATGCATTACAGAAAGGAACACAATGAGAATCAGACCCTAGTGGCACTGAGCATGGAGCCTGTGGGTCTTGGCTGGGGTCTCTTGAAAGTGCAGTGTGAGACACTCAGGGGTAAAGGTTTACTGGAATGGTGGTCCCTACAAGGAGAGCACAGATGCAGGTTGCCAAGACAGCTGCATCTATAGGCTCGCTTCCACTACAACCAGGCTCAGCCCTGCAGAGACCATCTGAAAATGTATGTAGAGCTGACCCCCAAACTGGCTCACCAGGTGAGAAGGCTTGCCACCCAGCCACTCTTAACTTCCCTCTGCCATCATCAACATCTCTACAGTTCTTCTGGGGTCAGAGGAAGAGAGCCAACTTGGTGGCAGTTGGGGTGACATCCGGGTCACTACTTCTTTCTGCTCAGGGGTGACGTCAGATAGGATGGAGGAGGATGTGGCCACCAGTACCCCTGAGGCCCAACTCTTGCTGCTGCACAGGTGCCCCTTAGGGCATTGCTTAAAAGAAGCTGGCCGGGTCCCACCCCCGAGCTTAAAGAAATGACCTTTCTCAATTTCCTGAGACAACTCAGAGGGGCCCATCAGTAATGCTAAATCCCAGCCCTACAGAGGCACCGGTCACCTGTCACGTGCTGTCCACTAGCTCTCTGTGCCTGCACTATTCACCTTCAGCCTGCCCTCTTTCATCAGTCCCCAACGTCACCCTGTGAAGTTGGCCGTCTATACCCCTTCATGATGAATGGATGCAAGCTGAGGCTCAAAAGAACGGGTTTTCCTGAGGACAAACAGCTGGAACGTGGCCCACAGCATACTGAAATTTAGCAACATTTCTCTTTAGCAACATCCACCCAGGGGCCAGGTACAGGTGTGGGCCGTGTGGGTTGATCATGGAGGCCCAGGGTCTTCACTTCCTATAGAGCCACCCATATCCCTGTCACACCTAGATGTAGTGAGCTTCTTCGGCAGCCTGGCCATGAAGGGGGCCAGCAGCAGCCTCCTCTGGACAGAGGGGAAGGTCCCAGTGTGGCTGCAATCCAAGTTGCTCTCTTCTTCAGAAAGTTCCAGGCCAGATGGCTGTGTCTGCCAAGATGTTGGTAAGGACTCAGTGTCAGCCCAGCTGGGAACAGGAGAAGGTACAGTCACGCTAGAGGTCACCTTTGGAAGCCTAGAGGCCTACCAGGAGCTGTGGTGACAAAGGAGGGGCCTGGCTAGTCCTGGAGTCCTCGCAGAGCCACCTCTCCTTGCCAGGTCCTCCTGGGTGGGGGTGGGGGGCTCTCTGAGTTCCCGGACTCCTTGTATGTAACCTTGGAAATTGAGAAAAGGAAGGTAGTTGCGTACCTGTTATGTGTGTCTCCTGGGGAACTGGCCCATCACTCTGTCTCATTCTAAAAGAACCTGTGACCCCAATCCCTCTCCTGAGAGTTGAGAACCAGTGGTTGAAGGGAACGATTGGATTTCCTCAAAGAAAAACTGGAAGGTCAGAAGCACCCAAGCAGTAGTATTTTAAAAGTAATGACAGGTGTGACAGCACACGCCTGTAATTCCAGCACTCACTGAGAGTGAGTGGAGGCAGGAGGAGTGTGAGTTCAAATCCAGCCTGGGACACACAGCAAGACACACAATTCCCAACAGAACAAAAATTACAAATAGTAACAACAACAACAACAACAACATAAACAAAAAACGTACGTCAAGTGCCATTCTGAGCATTTTATTGGCTGCTCTCACTTAGTTCATACCCTAGCCCATGGGGTCCGTTTGTTGTGAAGGGGCTAAGTGCGACCCTGTCTCCAGAACAAAAATGAAACAGCGCAGCACTAGGGCAGAGTCATCCTTCTTTACCCTTCTCTCCATTAGACCCACCTGGGCTACTGAAGAAAACACCGATTTCTGCCCTTAGCCTGGCCAGCCAGGGCCCCTGATTAAGTCTGAGCCTGGGGTCTGTATAATTTTTAAGCAATCCAAATGATCCTAAGGTACCATTGGGTGGAAACCTTGGGTCCAGTCGCTGACCTGCCATCTGCTTAAGTCAGTGTGATCGAGGCCTTTCCAGGGTCAGCGGATGAAGAGCTCTAGTACCCTGGGAATGCTGTGGAATTTTCCATCAGGCACCAGCACTTATTTTCCCAATCCTCCGTTGCCCGCCCCAGGCTTCCCATAATAACAGTGCCGCAGTAAGCACTCTTATCCGTCCATCTTTCTGCTCCTCGGTCCACTGGCTTCCTTGCAAAAGATGTCCTAGATATGAGTTAAATAATCTGCACTTTAAATCTTGACACGTCATGCCAGGTGGCACCCCAGAAAGGTGGTCGATGAGTGCCCATTCTGTGGTTACACTGAGTCCCTCCCTAAGTCTTCAGCAGCCTTGTGTGTTGTCAAGACTTTTGTTTGTTTGTTTTTTAAGACAGGATGTTCTTGTTTGCTGGCTTGTAGTGCTGAGGATGGAACCTGGAGCCTGGTGCATTCTGGGCCACTGAGCTACATCCCTTTAGAATCTCAATGGTCTCACTCCACTATCATTCAGCAATAGGGTCCACTGCAGGCAAAGGAGCTGCTCAGGAATGCTTTGGAAACGGTTTGAGTAGGAACAAAATGTTACGGCACCTGCCCCACACTGTAGCCATCTTCAGATTAGAAATCGACTTACTCAAGCTCCCACAACAGCCAAAGATGAACTTAGGGGTCTGCTTTGGGGAAAGTGGTTTGGTTTCTTTTTTTGTGGGTGCAGTGAACTTTATTGATGGCATTCAAGAGAGTAGGGCTCCCTGGGCCCCTTCCAATCTTCTGGGGGTCTGGGATGGAAACTGAGGTAGATGGTCAGAGTCAGGGCCTGAGTTGGGGCAGGGACTCCTCAGCAGCCAGGGGCCTCTCTCTTGCTCTTGTGTCCAAGCTGGGGTAGGTGGTCCAGGGCTTCTTAATCCTTGGAGGCCATGTAGGCCATGAGGTCCACCATGTTGCTGTAGCAGTACCAGGAAATGAGCTTTACAAAATTGTCATTGAGGGCAATGACAGCCCCAGCACCAAAGGTGGAAGAGTGGGAGTCACTGTTGAAGTCACAGAAGACAACCTGGTCCTCAGTGTAGCACAGGATGCCCCTGAGTGGGCCTGTGGATGCCTGCTTCACCACCTTCTTGATGTCATCACCCTTGGCAGCTTTCTCCAGGCTGCATGTCAGATGCACGATGGACACACTGGGGAAGGAACGTGGAAGGCCATGCCAGCGAGCTTCCCGTTCAGCTCTTGGATGACCTTGTCCACAAGCCTTGGCAGCTCACCCTTACCATCACCTCCTGTTCCTCCTTTTTTTTTTGGGGGGGGGGGGGGGGGACGTCTTTTAATCTATCAAAAATATATGTCCACCGAAATCGCTTGAGACCAGGCAGAGCAGGCCTCAAAGCCACACAGAGAACATTCTGCCTGGGCTGGCCTTTATTCTAGAAACCCTTACTTCGCTGGCCGAGGACCATCTGGGTATGCTCCTTTGCCACAGTAGGAGCAGCTGTTGGCACCTTTCATGCTGCTTCAGCCGGTTTGTGTTTTAGGAAACCAGCCTCATCAGGGCCTTATCCTTAGAGTAAGTAATGCCAGTGAGCTACAGTGATCGTGTCTCCCTGCACCAGGATCTCCCGGTCAGCTTCTTGGGTTCTCTTCCCTTGACTGAGGTCCCATGAGGTGTCACGAGATGGAAGGCATGTTCTCCATGTCCTGTGGTTCTATGAAGCTTCAGTGGCCTCGCTCCCAGTATTTCCTTCCATCAGTGAGACCCCCACATACATACACTTAACCAGTGTCCTCATTAGTACCAATAAGGCATGAGGTAAGTGCTAAGGGATTCAAATACACCCAGAGATGTCACACCTCCAATCACATCTTAGAAAGTGCTAACAAGGCAGAGGAAACATTCACCTTTCAAAGGAACGTGGTTCCCGCTTTTGTTAGAGACCCTGGGCTCTCAGGTCTCCTGTTTACTGCTGGAGACCTTGAGTGAGGCCTCAGGGAAGGTATGACTCACTTGGCCTCACTTGCAGGGCCTACACCATAAAAAATCTGCATTTGACCAAGGAGTTTATGTCTGCGGGTACCCACTTAGGAATAACACTGCCTGCCCTTCACCTCTGCTGTGGGTCAGCTCTGGTAACTAGTCAAAAGCCTCTGGAATTGGTTACAAGCAACTTTTAAAAAAATATAATTTGAATGCTACCTATTTGAACAAATAAATGAAAATTCCAATGCCCTAGATAGCAGGCTTCGGGAAGAGCTAGATTCAAGAGACTCGAGTGATGCCTAGACTAAGACTCCTTCATCTCTTGGTGGAGGCATTATGATCCCCAGTAGCTCTGGTCTTGCACAGAATCCCAGGATGGAGAATTCTTTTCAGAAGTCTTGAGAAAACCCCCCAGGGTCAGTTTGATTGGCTCTGAATGTCATCCCTGAACCAGTGTGCTCTCAAAGATGGAATGCTCTGATTGGTCAGGCCTGTCACAAGCTGGACCCTGGGCCCATGCTGAGGAACCTAGAATGCCAAGGGTATGCTCAGAAAACCACTAGTAGCCTACACAGAGAGGGACCTAGGTACCATGGGTAGCAAGAGGACTGAGCTTCGGTTTCTGTGAAGAGGGAGTGTTTAGAAGCAGAGTCCCCACACCTGGGACTGGGCTCTGCGTTCAAGGGAAGCTGATGACAGTAGCAAAACTCCATCTTTAACTGTCCCCACTCCCCGTGCTGCCCTCGCTCAGCATAAGCAGCTGTCCAAGCCTTGGCGGTGCCAAAGCAAGAAAGAAAGCCTTCCTGAGTCTGTCCTGCAGTTTCTTTGGTCCAGTCTAGGGTGAACTATCCGTAATGACAGTTAACACAACTTGCTTCAACTTACCCAACCGTAATGGTTAACAGTAGAGCATCTGGAGCTGGTATGGGGGTTAGAAGCTGCCTGTTTCTGCCAGGCTTCCAGCGAGGGCTCAGCCAGCTGTGTGGCCTTGGCCATGGGACTTAAGCTTTATCTGTCGTTTAAAAAAAAAAAAAAAGCATCCACTATGCTATGAAAACTATCCCTCTATATGTCTCCTCTCACAGTACCTGGCTCTAAGGTAACTGTTTCTTGCCCAAGCTGTCTTACCGTATTCTCTCAGGGAAGACTTTTAAGTAGGGCCTTTCTTTGGCCAATATTAGTACTTCCAGTGAAACTAGGGATATCATCTTCCAGGTAAGATCTCCCTCCACTTGTGTGGAGGCTGGGGATGGGGCCTAAGGCCTTAGATGCAAGGCAGGTGCTCTGCCACTGAGCCAAAGACCGTATTTTAATTAGAATGCATCATTCGGTCAGTTTTGACAAAAGCAGTACGACCTGTATCCACCTTGTAGTATCACACAGAATGGTTTCACTATCCTGAAATGCCCCCCTTCCCCTGACCACCACTAATGGCCTTGATTTCCAGATGCTATCGTTGGCCTGATGTGAGAACCCCTCACAGGCTGGCTCCTATTACTCACAAACACATACTTGAGGTTCTCTATGTCTTTTCAAGTTGGTTTTCCTTTATTTGAAAATAAACTTTAATTTCTTCGAAGTACAGCCACCTGGGGCCGGAGAGATGACTCTGTTGATAAAGGGATTTCTATACAAGCTTGAAGATTTGAGTTTTATCCCCAGAGCCATTGTGGTGCTCACTTGTCCTCTCAGAGCTGGGAAGGTAGAGACAGGTGGATCCCTGGGACTTCCGTGGCCAGTGAGACACTGTCTCAAAAAGCAGAGTAGGAGCTGCAGAGTAGTTCAGAAAGCTGATACTCCTCCAGAAGATCAGAGTGCAGTTCCCACTATCCACACTGGGCAACTCAGAAGCTCATAACCTCCAACACCCTCGTTGGCCTCTGAGGGCACCTGTACATGCATACCTGTGCGTGTGTCTGCATGAGGATCGGGAGTTCAGAACCATCCTTGGCTACAGAATGAGTCTGAGCTACCTTAGATGCGGTCTCTGAAAAGAACAGCGCTAGTTCCTTGCCATCATTGCTTTGGATCTTTTATCCCTCCTTGGGAATGACAAGAGGGTCATTTTCCAGTGATATAATCACTGTCGTATGCATGTTTTCAGCAGTCCCCGGATCTGCAGTGTCCGCAAATGGGGACTGCTTTTGATTGATGTGCATACAGACCTGAACATATGTGTTGTTCTGCAGTGAGGTAAGGTGACAGCCCAGAAGTGTCTGTCACCCAGCCTGGCTCTAGCCGTTTGGGGAAGAGCAGGGCTTCATAAAAGTTCCCAACCCTCCTGAGGCTGGTCAGCCTCCTAGAGAGCCGAGAACAAAGCCCCTTTGTGACTTTTGTTTTGAATCAGGCTTGTGACAAAGGGGAGGAGCCACTCTGGTGGGTGGACAGAGTCACCCAGAGGAAGGGAACCACTGTGGTAGGTGGACAGAAGTGGGGGGAGCTAATTGCTATAGAAAAACAAAATTCTCCCTACTTTTCTCCTTCTCTTCTTTCTTCCTCCCTCCCTCCCCATTATCCCTGTCTCCTCCCTTGTCCTCCCCCCAACACACACCCCTGGTGTTGTCATCCTGGGAACCCCTTTCTCAGCTCTTCGATCAGCAGTGGGGTTTTCCAATGGAAGCTTGGGGAAAAGATCCAGCGGCAGCCTGGGAAAGAAGCCCAGCGGCTTGGGGAGCCGACCCAGCGCACCATTCAGAAGCAATGTGTATCAGCCGACCGAAATGGCCGTCGTGCTCAATGGCGGGACTGTAAGTATCAAAAGATGACGTCCGGGCAGGAGGCCCAAGAGCGTCGTCCAACCTAGTGGGGCAGCTTCAGCTAGGTACACCTGGAGGCTGCTTTTCTGGGCTGCTCACTGCAGCTCCATGCATGCGTACCTTCCATCTTTGTCTGGCCCCCTCTTCACATAAAGGAAAACCCACCGGTACTCATGGGGCCATCTGTAGATGTCCACCTGCTGCTTGGGGCTCTCTATCTAATGGATTTTCATCCTTGAGCACGGGGCCCCACCGCTCTCCTAGGGAGGTGACCCTAAGGAAAAGCTTTCTGTGAGGTTGTTTGCAGCCTTGCTGACATCCACCCTAGCTTCAGCCCCCTGGCCCCTACTCCGTCCAGTACTCCCAGCTGCCTCCAACTCCCTAAGAAATTGAAATCGTGCCCCTCAAACAGCAGAGCAGCTGTACTTATCTGTCGCCAAACAGACCCGCAGCAGAAAGTCTGACCTTTTGCTTTTTGCCTCCGTTGGAATGACTTTGTTTCATTCCAGCAAAATCCAAGGAGGTGCTCATTCCTACATGTACTTTGCAGACGTAGCTCCATGCTTGTCAGAAACAATGCATGAGCCAGTTCACATGTGCACATTCAACTTCCATTCTTTGTTTTGTGCCTATTCCATAACTCAACCTGAGCTTTTTTTTTTTTTTTTTTTTTTTTTTTTTTTTCCTTTTAATAGACCATCAGGGGATGGTCTTTGATCCCTGGAGGGAGAGAATTTTGGTTTTTCTGGCCTGAGAAGGCCCTGCTAGGCCCCGGGTTCACTTTGCTTTGAACAGGCTATAAGACAAATAGAAATACAGATTTGTGTTCTTAAATCCCCCTACCATCTCCTGGGCTGTTTCTTGTCCCGGGGCCAAGAAAAGCCTGACTTAACTTGTGACCACTGGTCCCCAAAGGGGCCAGCCCATGTGCTGTAATAAATACAGCCTGTCCATCATTCTGAAGTCCTCCCAGTTCCCTCAAGGCCAGTGTAGGGAAGAAAAGGGGGAACTTACCTGTTGGATCCTCTAAGCTCTCGGGGTGATGCTCACTGTTAGGATACTTGCCTAGCATGCCCGAGGGCTCATCACTTCTTAAAGCATGGTTTCAGAGTGAGGAGTGTGTCCCTTAGGGTGGGTGACATGAACCTCCAGTACATTTCTGTGGATGACTCAGCCCCACAGGTACAAGCAAAGGACATGTTTCTAATGATGACTTTGCAGAGTTCTTAGTACTGTCCTTATGTTATTCCAGATCCCAACTGCTCCGCCACCTCACACGGGAAGACACCACTGGTGAAAGACCTTAAGTTCCAGAGAATAAGAATCTCTCTTACCGATTTTATTCCCTGGCTGTGTCTTTCTTGAGGGCGAAATCAATAACCATGGCAGAGACAGGCCACCTGGAAGCCAGGAAATCCCACCAAGGGGATTTCGTGTAAATGTGACATATGGATGAACGGGAAAGCTAACAGTGACTGCCCTTCTGGTATCCTGCCATACACACACACACACACACACACACACACACACACACACACACACACACA